CAGATGTATTATAAATACTGCTATTTTCCAGTTAATGAACACAATTCATACTTCAGATTTTCAGATTTTCTTGAGCTCTCTTCTTTGAGTTTTCGCCACCTTTTCTCTCTCCTAGAGAAATCGGTGTTATTCGCTAGGTGCTAGCAAATGCCCAGTGCTTGCATAGCCAACTCCGGTTCTCATTGCTTCCACACTGCGTCACACACCATAGATTTTCCTAATATTGAATTAAGATATACATCCGTTGGCATCCCTAACCGGGTTCACACTCTATCTACTCTACCATGGAACGACCAGGGTAGATAATACTTATTTGTTCATCCAAGATAGCAGCTTACCCTTCTTGTTTGAATGACTAATAGTCCCAAAAGAAACATGGTTCCTTTTGTTTAGCTTATTACTATCCAATTTCCTTTATTATGGAGATTGACTGCTTAGTTGAAGCAAAATGGGTTTTACTTTTTATATGTAGTGACCTAAATGATGCTTTCTCTACCATGGACCATGAAGGACGTGGGAGTAACGTGCACATATTAAGTCCCCACCCCCACCACATTTGAACAATGTCATCAACTGGTTTCACCTAGTGGAATTGACAAATCAAATGGGATAATGTGTCGTGTCTCATCTCGTATGTGAGATTTACACAGCATGCTCTTCATAATGTCTTGGCCATACATTACGAATATCTATTGTATTTGATGATGCACAATTTGGTGCTTTCTACTAGAGGACAGTATGAACGTTGGGCTAGTGAGGTTGAGTTGCAAGAAAAGTAGGTTAGAGTGTCCAAGATGTTTTATCTGGTGTAAGCACTCTAATGCTTAAGTTAATAAATTGTAGGTTTTAGAGAGAGCTGAAAATAAAATTGCTAATGAATTTGAGAGTTAAATCACATATACTTTGTGAGACTGGAGACGAAACCTTTATATAGATAGTCTACCGTGAACCTCACAATGCGTATTTGAGATTCTCAACCCATCTGGTCCAGAGTCAATTTCACACTCCAAGACGGACTCCATGTAAACTGATAAAACTCATTGAGATCCATCCAAATGGAGCAATAAGAGGGTTAACTCCGTTGAAATGATGCCATGATTCCAAAGAAATCTAAGATGACTTACTTTTAGATAGAATTTACATAACACCTTGACATATAGTTGAGCCGTTCGATTCTCGGTCTAATTAGGTGACCCGAGATTTGCGAGATAGCTGGGATATCTGTGGGCACCGAAATCATTGAAGTGTCACCTCGTGGTTTATGGTAGATATTTCTAAATTCCAATACCCCAAGGATGGCTGTGAAGAGCGTTGAGGAGCAGATCCCAAAGCAAAACCTTTCCCGCCCATCAGATTCAGAGTTGACAAGTGGGCCGTCATTTTGACCTGATTCGAATCCAAATCTAATGTGTCTAAAGATGTACTCATTTGACCAAAGTATGATGTGTTCGTTAATCGAATTAATTATTAATATTGCATCGTTGATATCAAGAGTCTCAATCCGCGTTGAATACGAAATGGGAACCCGAAAACCTTCCTGAGAGTCTCAATCCAGGAGAAGGCCAACGAATCAGATCGTACTACAAATACAATTATCTATATATCAATTCAGTTCAGCAGTTGCTCCGCTTCACTGAAGAGTGAAGAAGGAAGCCCAATACAAGGTACAGACTACAGAGGGCCCCGTTTTAAATGGGACCCATTTATGAGAAACATTAACTTCATTCCAGAACTTAATCTAGATCTTCGCATTCCAATTGTCAAACAATTTGGAATTTGCTTGCTCTTCTAACCTAACCACTTCCCTCCACGGCAGCCGCACCTGTAACTGCAACTGCAAGAGCACACACATTCAATTTAGAGGCTGAAGTGAAAGGTGTTGTTGATACTTGAAATCAGGCCGGCCGGCCGGCCTGACCCACTTGGACCGGTCCTGTCATGGATATTTTCTTTTCCGATCTATGGTAAAGGGAAAGATCCCATCTCATCAAGTTGTTGGCTACTTCTGATCTCTCTGTGTAGAGTTGTTATATCCTTTTCTGTTGGCTTTCGCAATTTATCAAATCAGAAAAAGACAAAGAGGAGTGAGCGAGCTGAGAGTTTTAGTGGTATTACCTTTTTTTCGATCGCATTTAATGGCGCATTTGCGATCACAGCGAAGCATAGTCCTGACTGCAAAATGGAAATGCCAAAATAAAGAATTAAGCAAGACTGCAAGAGAAACCCCCTCCCCCCTGGCAATTCTATCTTAGGCCGGTTTTGTACACGATGCTTTCATGCGCTCAGTACAAGCTCCAAATTACAGCAGCTGACAGCGGTGAGAAAGCAAATTCATGAATCAGAGAGAGAGAGAGAGAGAAAGAGGAGGGGTGTACTGGTCGATTTGGGGTTACAGCTAAAGTCTCGAGATGTAGTTAGGTGGTTGAAAAAGCTAACGTGAGAAATGAAACAAAGAGAAGCTACAGAGAGTTGAGATGTGAGTCGTTACCATCTCTGTTAACACATCCCGTCGAACAAGCATCGTAACAGTCGAAAGCATCGCCCTCGATGCTGACCATCTGCGACGACACTAGAAACAGAACCAACAGCACAGCTGCTACCTTCTTCATCTCCATCTCTCCCACTCTTTGACTCTGCGTTTCTACTCAAATCTCTGCAAGTCTGGGATGGACCGATCTGAAGTTCTGAACCACTCATCTCCTTTAAATGGAAAGGGGTTCACATCAACATTACCGAAATGCCCCGTCAATAACATACTATTAACCGAACGGATAGATAATAAATGATGAATTGACGATAGAATACCCAGTTTGACTTGCCAGTGGCTAGTGACCCGGTAACCGCCTTCCTTTGAAATCCCACAGTTTCCAGTTTCCACTCCCATAGGAAACTGTGGCAATCGAACACGTCGTTCTTCTTATATAGTTTCAAAATTAACGAAGTCCAGACATTAACGGCAGTTTAATGTCTGGACTCCAAATACTTATCAATTATGGTTTAAGCGCCACCTTCCAAAGTTTCTCTTCTCCGTATTCGTTCAACATCCTTTTCCCTCCCCCACATAACGAAAGTTCGCCCACACTAACATCATCGCACACCGCCATTGCAATCGAGCCACCGTTGTTCGTCCGTTGCAATAGCCGGAGTCTTTCTCAACCACCGCTCATTCCTCCGCTGCAAGCTTCCGGAATATTTTCACTGCTCACCCCTGACGTCCAAAGCCATCGGTGATTCTTTTCAGAATCTTTCCACTACAACTCCCTGTTTTGTCTTCTTAGACAGTTTCTGCCAGAGTACCGATGAAACCTGATGATCATAGAAGAGAACAACGATGAACCTGATGATCAGAGAAGAGGAGGCTACCAAGTTTTCCCTTTTCTTTTCATTTTAGCAGCGCTTATTTTGCCTTGAAGTCGTTTCATTTTTTTGTTTTCTATGTTTATCTTCCTTTTTCCCTCTATCTTGTTATTTGGAAAAAGGTGTTTTAGTTTTTCTAAAATTCCTTGTAAATTAAATGATTTATAAACACAAGAATCTTGTCTATAAGCCTCTTTCTATAGATGGAAGAAGAAAGTTATATGAGTCTCTCTCTCTTGCGACATATGAATTGCGAACATAATGGATTGGTGAACATTGGAGATGATATTCCATGGCTTGCTAATAATAGATAGAACCTTCCCTTGAAATTTGTAATGTGAAGATGTAAAGGTGTGGTGAGGTTTTGCATTCAATCTTATCCCTCTCTTTCAAAATAGACTTGTTATTCAACTATGTCTACCTCAATCGAACTCCCTCTTTCGACTTTTACCAAACAATTGAGATAAACTTTGAGGTCGCATATAACCATACCGATGTTAAGCATATCTATAGAAACTAGAGGCGTAATTTATGTAATTAATTATATACACCAGTTAATTTCTTTTCTTTGCAATACTTGAATCCACGAAGAACTGTCAATTGTGATAGATCTTCTTTTTAAGGCAAGAAAATAGCCTGTAATTTTATTTGATTTCAACTCCTACCGGTTCTCTACAATCCCACGTTTAAATACAAAGGCCATTCAACAATTTTTCCTAAACTCAAGGCCTCAACGTCTAGTGCTTCCTTAAGTTTAGCAATTCCCTATCACTAACGCAACTATTGTGACATATTTCCTCACTTATTTGGCTACTTCTTATGCACCAACAACTAACAAATATGCATATGCCACACGTCCTGCAAGTCATGCAATGTAATCTCGATATTGTGGGTTCTTTACATGGGTCATTGCTGACCTTCTCAATGTATCATTACCCTCCCCTTGAAGTGGAACCTTGTCCTCAAGGTTCAGATTAATGAATTGGTTCTTCAATTACTGAGTATTTTCCCATGTCACATCTTCCCTTGGAAGATTCTTCCATTGCACCAAGCTTTCCTCTACCAAGCCAGACCCTTTTTGAACCCAGCGTGTATCTAAGATAGCCTCAGGTACCACCACTACATCACCATCATCATTCATTGGTGGCAATTCAAAACCAACAGAGTTGTCATCTCTCACATATTTCTTGAGCATTGAGACGTGGAAAACAGGATGGATACGGGCATCCTCCGGCAACTTAAGCTTGTATGCAACTCTACCAATCTTCTCTTCCACTCGATACGGCCCGAAATACTTGCTGGCTAGCTTTTGAGCAGTGTGCTGACGGTATGGCTGAAGCTTAAGCAATACCAAATCACCCTCTTGATAATCGACTTCCCTTCTCTTTGAATCCGCCATTTGCTTCATTCGATTAACAGTGGCATGCAAGTGAGACTTTAGTTGCTTGAGGATGTTGTCTCTTGTCTCCAAAGCCTTGTCTACCTCATTAACAGGTGATGTGCCAATTGAGTAATACGAAATTGCTGGTGGAGTCCTCCCATAGAGTGCTTGGAAGGGAGTCATTCCAGTTGAGCTATGGTAAGCAGTATTGTACTGGAATTTGGCCCAAGGCAGGTAAGTGCTCCATCTTTTCTGTTGTTGGGATACAAAGCAATGCAAATACTGCTCCAAACATCGGTTGACCACTTCAGATTGTCCATCCGTTTGGGGATGGTAGGACGTACTCATGTGTAGCTTGGTCCCTGACAACTTGAAGAATTCACGCCAAAAATGGCTAACAAAGATGGGATCTCTATCACTAATAATAGATTTTGGCATCCCGTGAAGTTTAACCACTCCTTCTATAAATCTGTCAGCAACCATTTTAGCCGTATATGGGTGGGATAGAGGCAAGAAATGAGCAAACTTACTCAAGCGATCTACAACGACCATGATTGTGCTTTTCCCTTGTGAAAGTGGAAGCCCTTCCACGAAGTCCATGGTTATGTCATCCCACACTTGACAAGGAACGGGCAATGGTTGCATGAGTCCGGCTGGGGAGAGGGTTTCTGACTTATTTTTTTGGCACACTGCACAAGCGGCGACATACTTTTGAATCGATTGGTGCATGGATGACCAATAGAATTGCTGCACCAAGCGTTTGTACGTTCGCAGTACTCAAGAGTGACCTCCATAGGGGGTGTTGTGGAATTCATGGAGAAGTTTTGGTATGATTGGAGAGTCCGATGGAATAACTACGTTGTTCTTATAACAAATCAGCCCATTGTGCCACATGTATGGAGCTCCAGGTTTGTTTGTAGCTTGCTGGCTGATCCGCACCATATAAGGGTGTTGTTGTGTCTCTCTTTTGATCTCGTCCCATAGAGAGGCATGAGAAGTATATAAAGTGTGTAAGGTAGGACTCTCTAACCTTCTTGACAAAGCATCTGAGGATGAATTTTCTTTCCCCGGCTTGTATGAAATCCCGTAGTCATATCCTAGCAACTTGGACACCCATTTTTGTTGTTCAGGCGTTGTGATGCGTTGCTCAATCAAACACTTAAGGCTTCGTTGGTCTGTTTGGATATAGAATTTAAGTCCCAGAAGATATGGCCGCCATGTTTTGATTGCTTGTACGATGGCTAGCAATTCCTTAGCGTAAGTGGACCAAGCTTGCTTTGCAACTCCTATGGCTCGACTCATATAGGCTATGGGCTTCCCTTGTTGGCTTAGGACTACTCCGTTTCTATGACAAATGGTTCATCGAAATTAGGCATGGCCAAGGTTGGGGTCAATGACATGGCTTGTTTTAAAGCTTCAAATGCATCTTTGGCTTCTTTGCCCCTTGTGAACTGGCCTTTCTTAAGTAGATTAGTGAGAGGTCGGGCTATACTTTCGTAGTTTTGCACGAACTTTCAGTAGTAACCTGTAAGGCCTAAGAAACCACGCAATTCAGACACAATAGTAGGTTCAGGCCATTCAATCATAGCTCTCACCTTTCCAGGGTCTACTTTCACCCCTTGTACAAAGACAATGTGACCCAAATATTCGATCTCCTGTTGTCCAAAGTTACACTTGTGAAGTTTAATAAAGAATTGATTGTGTCTCAATACTTCGAAAACCTTTCGAACATGCTCAAGATGTGTTACCCAATCCGAACCATAAATGAGAATGTCATCAAAGAAAACTAGCACAAATTTTCTTAAGAATGGCCAAAAAATTGAATTCATAAGAGATTGAAAAGTTGAGGGGGCATTACACAGTCCGAAGGGCATGACCAAATATTCATAATGGCCATTGTGTTTGCGAAAAGTCGTCTTGTGAGTGTCAGTAGGGTAGACTCGCACCTGGTGATAACCGGATACTAGATCAAGCTTAGTAAAATAAGCTACTCCATATAGCTCGTCTAGCATGTCTTCCACAGTTGGGATTGGGAATCTGTCCTTGATAGTAACGGCACTAAGAGCCCTGTAATCTGTGCAGAATCGTCACGTCCCATCTTTTTTCTTTACCAACAAGACGGGTGAAGAAAAGGGGCTGGTGCTAGTCTTGATTATTCCCATGTTGAGCATGTCTTGTACTTGTTTCTCTATCTCGGCCTTTTGAAAATGAGCATACCGATAGGGCCTTACATTAACCGGCTCGGTCCCTTTCAAGAAACCAGTAACAAGTAACCGCTATAACGTAGAGGGGTTCGTAGTATTATGAAAAGAGAAAATTTTACTTTAGTACCTGAACTTTGGGGGTAGTGTTTCATCCAAAACTAATAATGGACGTTAAATATCATGTAAAATGGCAAAAAGGCTCTTCACCCCATTCCCGACAGACCGATTTCTCATGGACCCCAATTCTTTTGTGATAAAATTACAGAGCAGAGCTGCTCATTTGAAGCAACATGATCCATAACAATATCCAAATAAATAATGTGCCTTTTTGTTTCTCTTGGAGACTTACAAAAACAAAAGCCTCTCCTAAATACCCAATTAAAGCAAAACCTTTTAAATACCACCCCAAACCAACTTTCATCTAATTCTTTGTTGAATTTCACTTTATTACCTTTAGAAAAATGTCGATACCTCTTACAAAATTGAACGTCCTTTTGGCTATCTCGTCCGAGAAAAACATTAGGTATAAGCTTCCATTGGCTAAATTCCCACCTTTGTTGAGACCAACCGGTAGCAGATACTACAATAGCATCAATCCTACCAAAGACTCGAGTAGCCCTAGCTGAACCAGTAGGTAACTATTTATTAACTAATTTATTGAACATAAGGCCTGAAAAATGATAAAGTACTAGTCTAGCAAACACAAGAAGTTGATTAAGATTGCTATATTTATCATTTGATATGAACTTTGATGGACGGGTGTTGTGCAAGGATATAGGATCGTTTTCCCACAACAAGGACAGTGCAATAGATGATGGACGATGGATTGGTCGGATTCGGATATTCTATTCTTACCAAATAGTTAATGAGATTTGAATTCGGATATGACCATATTCGATTCGATAAATAATCGAATTTGACCGATTATTTAATTCATATATATAATATATAAAATATTTTATATAATTTATATACTTTATACCAATAAAATATTTATTAATTATCTAAAATAATTAATTAATCATATTTGAACCGAATCGAATATTTGAATATTTAATCAGATTTTTTAATATACGTCAGATATCAAATCGAATTCGGATATCGGATTTTCTAATCGAATTCGAATTCAAATATTGCCTGATCCGATTCGAATTCAATCCATTTACACTCCTACCGGAGACACCATGGGAGATATAAGAGGGAGAGCAAGAGTACAAGATGAAGTTCGATATGCCTGGTATGACCAGGAACGATGTGAAGGTGTGAGTGGAGAAGATGTTGGTGGTTAAAATTGAGAAGGTGCCAAAGAAGAAAGCTGAAGATGGGCAACAGGGAATTCAAGAAGAGAAAGAGGAGTGGTCTCCCGAGAGCTACGGCAGGTACAGCATCCGAGTTGCTTTGCCAGAAAAGGTAGAATTCGAGAAGATCAAGGGAGAGGTCAAAGATGGAGTCGTGTATATAACCATTCAATAGCTTTTCTTTTCTGTTTCATTGTATGTGGTGCTTCTAAAGTGTAATACAATCAATATACACCTTAAAAAGACAGAACATTTTAAAACCTGTGTAAACACATTCAGACCTTCACTTTGGATCCCTGAATTGGTACATTTTCACTAAATCTGGCAAATGGTGCCAATGGTTTACAGGACCAGAGATGATACATGACAAGGCCGAGGAAAGAGTGTGTCATGGGTGTTCTCCAAATTTTATATTCCATGGTTATAGCAAGAGGGATGATCATTTGGAAGTACTTACCATGGAACACTGCACTCGGTATCATTATCTGATTCAGCAGCATGTAGAAGTTTTAGGATTATAAAGGAGCAGCTGGGCAACCCAGTGCAGGAGACTGCCAATGCGAGGTCTAAGAAGCAGATGCGCTCAAGCCGATGAATGAACTACAATTGCTGCCAATATACATGAGGAAATTGATCTTCAAAGAGAAGAGAAGAAAAATGGATGAACTGATGGTCGATTAATACCTCAACAGGTTGACTTTCAAGTAGAAGACCATGAACAGTGAAGGATAGTTTTGATATTTTCAAAAATTTTAAGTTGTGATCATATAAGTGATGATCCGTTAAACACCGATTTGAAACTTTTTGAAAGTTCAGAATTTAGGGTAACAAAGTAAAATTTTCCCTAAATTGGAGTGTAGGTCTTATAAAATACGAAAAACTAAGGAGTGTCTTAGTAAACCCAAAGATATATATTTTTTTTTGGTAACAAAGACAAATCTTTGGAGTGAAAAGGCAAGTTCCATATCGTATCTACATGCGAATATTTTCTGAGATTTATTTTAGAAGCTTTTTCATGATCTATAGAAACTTCCGTATCTCTTCACTCTCTCGCCTCCCTGCTATTAATATTATGGATACTCTATAGTGTTATTTATTGGATTTCTTTTGTTGATGTGTTCCTAACAGGTTCGAAAGAGTGTTAGAACGCAAGATGGGTCGAGGGAAACTCAAATTGGAGTTCATAAGCAAAGAGTCAAGTCGAAGAACTACCTTCAGAAAGAGAATGCTCGGGTTGAAGAAGAAGGTAAAAGAATTCTCGACGCTCTGTGGCGTTGATGCTTGTCTGATTGTCCATGGACTCGATCAAGGCGACCGCCCGGAGATATGCCCGGAGAATCCCGACGATGTCCGGAGGATCATCAGTCGGTTCAGAGAGCACAGAAGGGAGGAAATAGGGAAGCGAAACCTGGGTCTCCGTGACATCTTGGAGGACAGGAAGAAAAAGATGGAGGAGCAGCTTGCCAGGCTGCGCCGGAAGAACAATGAAACAGAGTACCCCGCGTGGGACGACCGGTTCAACCATTTCACAGTGGAGCAACTTAGACAAATGGGGTGTCGCGTGGGCGCCATGCTTGAAAAAGTGAAAGCCAAAATCGATTGGATTCAGGAAAAGCAGCAGAGCGTCAATGGCGAACTAACAGCGTTGATAGAGTATCCTCTCCCTCTCCCTCCCCCACCACCCAATCACAACCCCCCTCTTTTTTTCAGTGACGAACACCTCCATTGCTTGCCAAGTGTATGTGGAAAGGGCATGATGGATGCTATTCCAACATTCGAGCAACCACTAGCCTATCTGGGACCATTTGATCGGCCTCTGTCCGTAGAATACCCATCCACTGCCCTGTCACATGTATTCGAACAGAAGGGGAACCCTTTGATGAATCATCAAAACTGTGATGATTGGTCCAGTGGGGTCATTCAGCATCCACTATTTTATGATCCAACGGTGGTTGGTCCATGGAATGATATGGTGGTGCCGTCAACCATGCAGCCACCTGCATCTTATTTCCAATATGATCATTAATTATCATCGCCTTTCAGAAGTTAGAGGAAGCTTCCAAACTTGAAGATCTTCATGAGAAGCAGTTTCAGTTTTAATTTTGATGATCTGCAGGTCAGTGAAGAAGGTTAGGTATGGATTGGTTTCGTGTAGAGTTGAGTTATTAGATGTAATCGAGTAGATAACTTGCTAATATCAGCGTAGGTTCAGTTATCTGGTGGCGTTGTTTTAATGCAGTTTGTAGTGCTAAATCAAGCTTCTTTTCAAAAGAGAATTATGCTTTCTTTAATGGAGGAGGAACGTAGCTAATACGCACCACTCACTATCATGGTTGAATCTAGAAAGACAATGTCTGTAAGTAAAGCCCAACAGGAGCAGAAAAGTAGGAAGTGAATTCATTCGTTGAGAGGTATTAATTCCTTATTTACATAACGTTGTTCTTCTACTGTTCTACATTATGATCTCATCTACCCATTAACAAAAATGAAAAGAAAAATACAAACAACAAATGAAATTAATCTCGATCTATCCTGCCATACAAAACTGCCCGCACGAACGGGCTGTTGTCTGTCGTGATCAATGGGAAACTACCGCCTCTCTTTCTGCTAAGACTCTTCTTATTTGTAAGCTACGTTTCTTATGTGAAAACCAATGCTGGTCGTTTGATAATGCGAGTCTGGTCACTTCTTCTCTCTTCCTCCTCTTTTTAATCTTATTTCTTCTTCTTCTTCTTCTTCTTCTTCTCCTTCAAGCATCAGAAACCCTCGCCGGTGAGTTGGTAGCGGGGCCACTGGACGAAATTTCCGTTCTGGGAACGCCACCGGGAGCAGCAGAAGTGTCAGCTTCCGGGATGGTGCCGCCGATAGTACTGTTGTTCGGAGTGTTGGTTCCGTCGAAGGAGTTGGCAACGACGACTTCGATGGGTTCGGACTCTCTGGAGCTCTTCGATGGCATCAACCGCGCCATTCTCTTCATCTCCTTGCCTTTGCCCCACAACACCACGTACAACCCACAAACTATCAGCGCTGCTCCTATTACACTGTGTTCACGCACCGAAACAATCAAATGAGAACCGATTCCCCCCCGGCTTACTCGTGTACCCACATCACCGACCCGTTTCCTCTTTCCTCTTTCCCAAGAAATGGCAAAACAGTCATGGATCTGGCTCCGAATCGTCGGGAGGGGAGGGTGGATTCTGATAATGGGGATTGGGGACCAGGACCATGGCCTAACGGATTCTTAAATTATTACCAAAATACCCTTTGACTGGTTTTGGTTAAAGCTTAAATTACTAACCTGCCCAGGTGAAGCTTCTCGTTGAGGAGGATGGAGCCCATCAACGCCACCAGCACCAGCATCAATGGATTAAACACCGATACAAAAAGTGGGCCCCTGACCATCACTCCCCACGCAATCAACGACACCACCAGCCCTGAAGCAAATATCCCCTGCAACATGGACACACGTATTTTTTTAGCCCCCCAAACCGAAGACAATACGTTAACACATCATACATCCATACGTACCGAATAGGCTACGGTGAATAGCCTGATGTTCCAACCGAGCTTCCACTGGGACCAGTCCCTCTCCATGCAGAGCGCAAAAACAACGGCCTGGATCGATCCCATCACGCACATTAGAGCCGTGCTCGAGTACTGGCACGGGTATCTCTCGCTCATCTTCGTCTACAAACGATCATAAAAGGGGGGATTTTACAGTTTAGTCAAGGGTACTTCGGGTACATCGAGTGAAAAGTCGTTATAAGATCACCTGGATAATCAACCAGATTGCATAAGAAAAGCAGCTGGCAACAGCCAGTAATGAGCCCAATACGCGATTACCCGACTCAGCGTGTGATTCCGCCACGTGTCCGTGATGTATCCGATGCGTCAGGTCCACCTTTGACGACCAGAGGTTGATCTCCACGCCTTTGTAGAACGTCAGAATCATTGCGCCACTAATACCCAGCAGAGTCCCCACCACCTTGGCTTTCCCCACCATCGTCCTGATGTTCAACCTCTCCAACCTGATTATCAAGTCAAAAAGTCAATTGATCAGACCCTTCATGTTTGCATTGTACAGGTCTCAGTTGGTACTCTACATAGTTAGTTCACGTGGTTCCCGTTAACTTACCCGAAAGCAACAGCCATGATGAACGTAATTGCCGGAATGAGGTTAGACATGGCCGAAGCAAAAGTTGCCGACGTTAAAGCCAGACTTGCCACGTATAAATTCTGAGCCAATGTTCCCCTGAGCAAAAATCAATAACAATAATAGTGATTTTTAAGAAAACAATCAATAAATGTCGACCGTTGGAGAGGTATATTTATGAATCTATATCGGAACTCGGAAGCAAGAAACACAGAAAAACCAGAGATGTTTTGAGTTTCCATTTAACAATATCAAACTACTATATCGATTTTGAATGTGAAGAAGAACAGGTGGCAGTGAATTTAGGTTGAAGCATTTACCCGAATAATCCACAAAGAAATGCTTGGAGGAGGACCATCCGTGTTAATTTTGGCCGGGTCTTCCTGCAATTACAAATTAAGAACAGATTAACCAATTCGTTTATTAAGCTCCAAATGATCAGCGATTCAAAGGACATTTTTATCAATCTATATCTTTGTTGGTGGGTTTTAAGCAAACATTTTTTTTTTCTTTTGGTTTTATGAGCACACGAATTCACAGTAACAGTTTCTATTATTTTTCTTTCTTTTTTGAACGCTGTCAATAAAAGTGTGTTGCAATAAACAGACGCAAGTTTTATCTTTTTTATATTTTTAATGGTTTCAGTCAGAGTGAATTGCATTAAAGAATTTTAAAACAATATCGAGAAATGGACAAATTGAACCTTTGCCAAAACTTGGGAGACTCTAATAAAAAAGACTTTTCGATCTGAGCTCTGCAAGTGGATTTCATCTGACTGAAAATTAAGATGAAAAAAAAAGGACACAACCAACCAAAATCCAGAAACCCTAAAGGCAAAAAACGACGACCCAAATCCATAAATCTTCTTTATATCAATGGGTTTTGATCAAAGCAAATAAAGAATGTAGAAGAAATCAACCTTTCTACAAAGAAAGCAAGAGGGGCTAAGAAAACTGTTGCGAAAAGATATCTGTAAGCAACCAACACCCTCAAACTCATGCCATCAATGGCAGCTAATTTGTAGAAAACGTTCACTCCTGCAAATACGACCTGAACCAGCACCATCACCATGGCTGGCTTCAATCCATGAACAATGTCGCAGAAATCTTTAGCCATAACAACGAAACTCTGTTTTCCACCAGGAGGAAGAAGTAGATAGAGAAAGAGTGACAGAGAGAAAGCGAGCAAGCAAGAAGATCGAAGGCTTCGTCTTCTCGCTCAATCGCTTTGGTTTCAGTTGGAATGAGAAGGAAGACGAGAACTCTGTGTATATATAAGGCAGAGAGAGAGAGAGAGAGAGAGAGAGAGAGAGAGAGAAATAAAGACCGAGTCGCTTGTTGGGTTCAAACACGAAACAACTAAATGGGGAGGGAGAAAGTAGACTAGAAGATTCTTTCAGAGACAAATTAGGGGAGTAGAGAGCCAGGTAGGAGGGGTAAATGGCATTGATTGTAATTTATGCAGCGCCAAGAGTGCGCTGGTTCCCAATGTGTGTCACCGCTTACGTCTCTCTTTGCTTCCATGAACGAAGTGTCACCGCTCGCATGTTTTTGTGCACGTGTATTGTTAACTTGGACACGTGCGTGATATCACTGTCAATTTCCTTGACAGGTGGCAAAATTTTTCAAATGGGTTTTTTTGTGGCAGCGGATCTCGAGAAGCCATTCCAAACAGGCCCATGCAAGCTGGGAAGTGTGAGAGCTCGAGGAGAGAACGCTTGGCTTCACGAGTTCCATCACTCCATGTTAGGTAGGCCTGACTCCTGATCGAATGGTAGGAGAGAAATCTGCGACGTTTTGTTCAGAAAAGGAGAGAGAGAGACCACCAACTAGCTTTTTGGACTGATTTTGAACGGAAAACCAGGAACCAGAAACAGGGGGACATGGCCCAAAGTGTAAGCGATATACAATGCGCAAGAAACGTGCATGGGCCATGCACGTATCAAATTCTTAGTCCTAATCACTCTCATGTTATTGTATATTAGGCACGACTCTCGTATTCAGTACGGGGCCACTAATATGAATTATTTTTAATTTTTTAAATTATTTATATTAAAAATTTAGGTTAGGTTTTTCATTTGTTTTTTTGATAGATTTTTATTTAATTTAAGAGATTTATCATATTTTATCTAGTATGTGATTTAGGGCAATCACACATATGTATCATTTTGGTTTTTACTCTTTTTTTGTTTTTTATAGTAATATTATTTTATTTGAGTTTTTTTAGAAGATTTTATTTGATATTCACTATTTGTCCAATAATTATATTTATATTTGAAATTCAAATTAAACAAACTATTGAAATTGCTGTGTAGTGGTTGTAGGCAGAAACATTTTCTGTATTTTTTTAAGAATGAATGAGAATGGGAGTTTCCTGCTTTTCATGTATTTCTAAAGAACTATTATTGAATGTATGGCACTTGTCTTAGAGTGCCATTTGTTTGAGTTCAAAAATTTATGTGGTTAAAAGCAATTTATATATATGAGGAATGGGTTTTCTCTTTGAAAATGTGAACAACCAACTTCTGAGATTCTTTTTCTAGAAAGTTAAGATTACCACATGTCTGAATGATGGGGGCTATGGCCTGAAGACCTTCCTTATATATATATTAGATTTGTATTATTTATCCTTGTGCGATAGTCCTCATCATAGTACTTGTAATCTTATCTCTTATACTCCATTTAATCAAATTACTCTCTCCTAGAGGTGTAAAGTGGGCCAGGTTGGGCCAGCACGGCATGGCCCATGGGCGGTCCGCATAAAGTGCGGGCCGTGCCGTGCTAGCTCACGGGTCATTAGAGGTCGTGCCACCCTCCCCGGTGAAAAATTTGGGGGTTGGTCCGACACGACCCACAGCCCAGGCCCGTGTTGTGCCATGCCGTGCTACGAGTCAGTCTGGCCCATGAATCAAGCCTTGGGCCAAGTTGGACTGTGCATCAAGCCAAAACTATTTATTTAAAAAAATGATAAAAAACTTAAAATTATAATTTTATATGAATTTTGTATATATAATTGCTTATATATACAATAATTATAGGCTGTGCCGCAAGCCATATTAAGTTGGGCTGCAAACTGAACCATGCCGGCCCATGAACCTAAAACCCCAGTCCCAGCACCGCCCGCATGATCATGCCAGGCCTAACTCGAACTACGGGGGCCGCGGGCGGCCCTATCTGATTTAGACCTCTACTCTCTCTTTTATTCTATTACAAAATTTACCGTATTTGGTTTTGGTTGTACGATCAAGAAGGTTTTATGTCCAGTTGTCCACTTTAGGGATGTTGGTCCTCTATTTAATGCTCAAGAGAGAGAGAACGAGGTCGGTCCTTCATTAATGTCTGTGAAAGAGAAAGAGGAAGAGTGAAATGGGTGATTGTAGGTCGTGATCCCCTTTGTCCATCTGGCTGTAGAGCAGGCCTCTTGAAATCCAGAAGTCCAAAAACCCTGGTTCAGAAGTCAGAACCGAGGATTTTTCAGAATTAATTATAGTTGAGGACTGAGGAATGAACCCTTTGAAACCCAGAAGTCCAAATCTTCGATTAAGAAGTCGGAACCGAGGACTCTTCAGAATTAATTATAGTTCAATTTCTTATGGATCTTCTTCTTCTACTGCTCTTTTCTGGGTTTTGCCTGAAATTTTGTAGATTGTGGGGAGGTGAGCTGATGAATGGGATCACATGCTGTGGATCGAGCCAAGTATGTCATATGTGAAACCACGAAACATGTGATGGAGAGGAGATACATTTGGAAGGCTTTAGACGTGAGCGTTTGATTTGATATTTGTGTTGTTGGCAGTTGAAAGAGCTGAAATTAGTCAATGGACCCCTGACCGGTGCCAACTCAATAAATCAAGTTAGCTAATTAGCATGGTTCATGAGAACTTTTCACTTTCGGCAGTGTTAAATGAATCATAGTTAGGGATGCCAAAAGATCGGGTTCAGTATGGCTTTGCCTTAGCCCATACCCTACCCCAAGCAGCATCCAAGTTAAACTGGACCCAACCCAACCAAATAAAGAGAGAGATCAAATCCGACCCATCCCAGTGCATTTATATGGTCAGTTAAGCTTATATATGCAAATATTCCAATGCAGCAATGTCACCAAGTCGGGTTATCACGGGTTTCACCTCAACCCAGAAAAGGGATGGACCAATTGTGTTTGGAAGAGGGAGGCCCTCCTTTTTTGAAAATAAATTATGGGCCCGTTTGGGAGGGTTTAGTATTGATTGAACTGTGTTGACTGAACAACTTAGAGCTTTCGGAGGTTTTGAAGCTATCAAAACTAGCTTCACCTGAAAATAAAATTTTCAGTTCAATGTAAGCATTCATGAGCTTTCGGAGGCTTTCACCAACATAGCTCTAAGAATGTAAGGGGCCTACATTTCAACTCCAAAAGCCACTTCATGAAAGCCTTCCAAATAAGTACTATGTGCTTTACCAAATTTAAAATAATGAAATTGGGTTTGTGCTCACAAATTTGTGTTTACACCGTTCTCACAGCTTTTTTTAATCGTGTGTTGAGAATATCTTATTATGAATAAAAAGATGCAAGTATGAAAATATTCTCGATGATGCGTGATTTTGTGCTCCCTATTAACAGATAGTTTGAACGTCGGGATGATAAGGTCGTCTAACCAAGCTGCAAGAAGACAGTATTAGAGAGTCCAAGTTGCTTTATCCAGGTGGGCACTCCAATGTTTAAGTCAACGAAGAGTGTTTGGAGAACTGAAAAGCAAGTAAGCTTGAGAGCTGTGAGAACTAAATTGCATATACCTTCTCTGATCACTATGATGCCTTTATATAGGTGTAAGTTGTTGTGGGATTCATGCTACATGCCCAAGATCTCTAGGGGAAGTAGCTTGCCATCCCACCTCGCTCGGAGGCGGTTTTCATGTAAAGCGATAGAACTCATCTGGCTGCTTCCAAAGCAGGTAGGGCAGAAGTTAGCTCCATTGATGGGGTGACGTGGTCCCAGAGGATCCAAAGATGATAGCCCACTCATTATGGGGGTCGGCCACCATGTCCTTCAGGTTGTCAACTATGCTTCAGGCAGGTCGGCAAAGAGAGGTCGCCCCTCATGCCGAGGTCCTTAGCTCAATCCTATGATGGCCGACCTAGTCATGCGATGGTCAACCTGATCCTAAGATGACCGACCTAGTCCTAAGATTACTGACCTGGTCTTGGGCCGAGGTACCTATAGGTTGACTTTGCCTACATGACATTGAGGTGTTAAGCAACAATTCAGGATCACCATGTGGCACAATGTCACTAGAGGGCCAAATCGTTCCTCATCAATTCCCAATGTATGATTGAAAAGGGCCGTGACAACAGTATGAGCACAAATTTCTGAGGACTAAATCCACCCTCACTCAAAATATCTATCATTCCATTGTAGCCCATTTTCCAACCCTCTTGCCTATCGGAAGATGATGTCTCATGTCTTGAATTGAATTTACATAAGCTTGGGTTTGGACCTTTGATTGAAACTGAACTTACATCATGCGGCCTGAGTGTTATGGGCCAACCAAATCAAAATAGCTACTGTTTACTTGGGTTGGGCTTTCATATGGGTCAAAAGCATATCACCTTTTGTATAGACTGGGCTTGTTCTCAAGAAGTTCATTCCAAGTCTCCAAGATCGCCCCTCTACACCCTAATTAGTGAGGGTCCATTATTTGGGAGAGTAAAACATATCACCTCTTGTATAAATTGGGCTTATGCTCAAGAAGTTCATTCCAAGCTCGCCCATCCACGCCCTAATTAGCGAGGGTCCATCTGGGAGAGGAAAGCCGAAGATAAGCTTTAGTTCAGCTCTCCCAAATGTGCTTCAGCCCTCCCAAATGGGGCTAAGCTGAAGGTTCAGCTATGTTCGTCCAGCTGCTTTGAAGCACTCCGACTGAAGCAGACGATTCTTTACGTGGCGAATGGACAGCTGATAATTTAGGCTCTCAGGATTTTTCACCAAACATAGCTTATAGGCAATATGTGTGGGGCCCATGGGGGAATAGTTGACAGATGCATCGTTATCAGGTCTCAGCCAAAACCAACTGTGAGGCACTTGCAACACCAAGCGAAATGTTTGTCCAATCCAGTATTTTAATTTCAGTCCATCTTCCTCAAATTGCATTGCAACGTAACTGGGTCTGGGTTATTGGGGGATCCGATCTCATCACAGAATGCTCAAATGTCAAGAGGCTCAACACCAGAAACTCAACTGTCTAATCTTGAAAACTTTTTCCTCTACTTATTAAAAAAAGGGGTAAGCTAATTAATTATATAGTAAATAGGTGGCATTCGTTTATGAGAGGAACAAGGATAAGATTTATTTGGCTAGTGCTAAGTCTCCACTCAACTGAGCTGAGCTGTCTGCATGCTACCTTTTCATCCTGTACCATTTGGGCTCAGTTAAGCTATTCTCTATCAGCATCATCATTTAATTCCCAGTGGAAAATTACTTGTCTGCTCTCACCATTATATCATGTATGTGTGGGACTAAATTTGTTATAAGATGAGCTAATCCGAATCTTACACGTTGTAGCAGCAGGTCTAAATGCTTGTTGGCCTTCCTAGGATTCATCTAAGTGGCAATTGTCTGGGATGCAATTATCTGCACATGCCAAAACAACAGACCGACCAATCCTCCCCTATTTGATTCAAATTATTAGCTGGGAAAAGTGGCAAAAGGTGGTTATTTTGAATTTTTGATGGGGATGTGCTTGGCACCATGCGTGTAATAGTAATTGGGTTTGGCCCTCTTTGAATGGCTATATACAGATTGACACAGGCTTTGAATCTGTCATCTTCTTCTCCACATGGCTGAAAAGAAAAGTGGTAGCCTCTACTCTGTAAATTTTTTATTTTTTTTCTTCCTGCAGATGGTTGCAGTTGCACCACAATCTACTTTTTCTTGCAGAGATTTGTTCTTCTTCTATTTTTAGCCCTTGCATGCAGGACCATCTAATTCTTAGTCGGGTCTACCCTCTAAAGAGGCAAACGGATCTCATTGAATTTTGATTTATTAATATTTGGATTTGGATTTGAATTTAATCTTATTTATTAGATTGGATCAAATTTAAATATTGAATGTATGCATGTTTGTATTATTAGACCTGTTCATGAATGGGGTTAGGATTTAATTTTTGCCAAATTTTAAATGATTCTAAGCCCGAACCTGATATATAGTATAAAATCACCGACCCGTGAACAGGTATAAATGTATATTACATCAGAGGGTAATGTATTAGATTCAAGTGGATTGAGAATCAAATTTGGATTGTTTTAATCATCCTGATAAACCAATATCAATTGCATCCTAAGATACATTTAAATTGGTTTGACAGGAAGAATTTGTCTCGTGAATGAACAGGTGACATGACAAATTGCATGGCATCCATAGGATGAGCAAAATCTTGGACTAGCAACTTGAATAGTATGTTTGTCCATGTGAATTCATATTTTAAACTCGTTTTATCAAAAAAGAGCAATGATTCTTTGTATGTTAGCCCTAGAAGGGAGAAAAGAAACTAAGATAGTGTCACACTTTTATGAGTGCCTGTTTTAACTATGCAGCCCTAGAAATATCTAACCAAGTATCAAGCATTTCTGTTGAGCATCTTCACATGAGATACCACTTTATATTGATTTGCCCATTGGTCAGAGTTGACATGTAATACAAACCAATATTCAAAGTGTCTATCAATACATGCAATATGAAAAAGTTGCCTGATTCAAAGGGGTTATACCATCGTTTTCAAAACCAGGAATCGGTTAGGTAATCGGTTTTGTTTCACTTTAAAGTCGTTTTTTGATAAAAATTCATTGATTTGATCAATGATTTGCTGATCTGAGTAATTGAATTGTCGAACCATCAACCTAAACAACATTGTTGACCGTTATTTATTTATTGGTTTTTTAAATCAGAATGGGTTATTTTCTTGAATCTGACGATTGAACCATTTAACCTGGGAATCAGTCTCTAAAATGGTTCTGTATCCGGTCCAATTTTAAAAACCTTGGGTTATACTTTCCTTTTTAACTTTAAAGAATTGAGCTTGTTATTAACCTTCAAAAATGGCCAAATGTCTTAACACGTAGTATTTAGCATGTAACTAGACTCAAAAACCGATATATATATATATATATATATCAAAACTTTGAACCTTAATACAAACCCTTTAAAACATAATATGACCAAAGGGCCCCTGAATTTTGCACCAAGTTTTGTGCTCTCTCTTTCTCTCAAGCATGCAGCTCATTCAAACACTCTGATAATCTAGAGTTTACCAACTGAACACCAAACAATAAGATGGTTAATCATTTATAATGCAAGGGAATGGAATTGAAAACCCTGATCATGTGCTTAATTCACTAGAATTACCCATTTAACAAATAGCTGAAATGATTTTTAATTCTACAACGATGAACTTGCCATAAAAATGTTACAATTAAAAAGCCGCATATACGGACAGAACAGATATAAAACAAACTGTACAACAGATGGATTGGTTGGTTGCTTGACTCTTGTTGCTCTCCCAAGTGTTCATATCTGTTGCACCAAATCCTTATTCTACCAATACTTCTTCCATCATCACTTACTGATGTGTAATGCACTCCAATTGGATTTGCTCTTTAGCTTCTTCTCTTTGCTCGCTTCTTTCACTTAAGCCTTCCTCTTTCGTCTTGCCCCACAAGACGCTGTAGAGGCCCCCCACTAAAATTATAGCTCCACCAATACTGTCAGGACACGACCCTCGTCAGAGACAAATATTAATTTCATATACCAACCAAAGTTCTCAAAAAGTTTTAAATTATTCGCTAGAATAAATATATAATATTGAATTTCCTTGCCAGGTGTTTAGGTCTGCCCATGAAAACCGATACTTGATACTAATATTATTAACCTCAGATGTTAAATTTTGTTTTCGATGATTGAAATTTCGCAACATATTTATTAGTTTGTATCAATCGATACATATGAATTATGACCCCCTCTTTATTAGAGCTGTAAAATGGGTTGTGCCTCTTTTCCTTGAGATATTTTGGGGAATGGGCTCAGTATTGTTTACGGTCTGAGCTCATGCAGACTCGTATCAGGCTGGTCTGTGGGTCAAGTCTTAAATCAAGTCAAGCCGTGAACCGGCCAAAATTATTTATTTAAAAATTAAAAAAAAAATCTTTAAATTTTTTTTATTTTAATTTTGGTGTACCAGCCCGGCCCATTCGGTGTATCAACCTGTGTCGAGATTTAAGAACCTTAACATAATTGAGTAGGTAAGTATGGAGTATGGACCTTCCCCAATGCAGTGTCTCCTTCCACAGGAAAGCTGAGAAGATGGCTGTTATAAGCAGCGCCAAAGGTGTAAAGATGGCTGTGAACACTGGTCCTTTCTTCTCTATGCACCATACTTGCAACCAGTATGTGATTCCAGTGACAATTATACCCTACAATTTGTATCGAGCATTTAGTCTTTGGACAATATTTCATGTCAAGCATTATTCAAATAAGAAAGAATAAAAGCAGAGAAGAGAAACTTCTCAAGACTCTATAACTATACAAAGCTTCTAAAATAAGTGGAGTGATTAATTGACCAAACTTCAATAATTAAATTGGTAGGTTAAAGTGGTGGCAACCTCAACCATTTGATGCACTTATTCAACCCCATTTTGTTTTGTTTGAGGATGAAATACAGAGTCAAATATGCCGTTAACAACAGAATCCATGTCCACTATTCGGCCTGTACCCCCCTTTCAATGCGTTCCCAATAAGAGGGGGATTGAAAGGATGGGTGACTGAGCTGGTGAAGCTGATTCTCCTTCCTAAGATTGGATATTTGTGCATAACAATGGATATGGCACTAGAGCGACATACTGAATGAGACACAGGAACCATGTAGCCAGCAACCGATAGGTCCGATATTAGTTGGGACAAGGATTAGATGATAATGAGGATGATTTAGATGGTTGTGCATGTTCATTAATGAGACTAGACATTTTGGCATTTTTAGTTTACAACATGCGGGTCTAGATATTTTAGGTTAGGGTTGGACCAGGTCAATGGTTCATTCAGCTGGATTAGTTGGTCTTTGACCAAGTCAACATTTTTTATCAAAAAATACGAGTTTAACCATCCGGGTCAACAGTGGTTTGAAAAGATGTAACCAGCCAGTCACCCGTGACCTGACCTGACCTGATCCGAATTCTTTTTGGGTCGGCTCGGATTGTCTTAATTTGGAACACTAGATAAAGAGCCTGGCCCACTTTATTGGGTTGGGTTAGCGGGTTGGATCAACTTTTTGCCAGGTCTATTTCAAACTAAAACGAACTAAACAGAACCAAGATTACCGGTTTCCCACTATATCTAAATATAGGTCCATTTATTGAATGTAAAGTAGCTGGAAAATACTATACAAGGAAAGTCTAATAGGTGATTAAATAAGGTGATGAAAGATTAAACCATTTATGGTCTACAAGATAGATGTACAGTGACAGAGATCCATGGAAACATTGTTGCTCATCATCAGCCCTCAATCCCCTGTTTTAGTGTTTTAACACTTACAAGGGGAATATGTGAGTTGAGTGATGCTTCAATTAGTGCTGATGAGGCTATCAGAACTTTCTTTAACAGCTATATTCGAAGGGTGAGAGGAATAGAAAAGACTACTTCAAACATTAGAATATGTAAGTAATATGACTGAAGAAACATACACAGTATGCAACGGAAAGAAGACTGACATCCCATCCAAGCTTCCATGAGGATGGGTTTCTCTCCAAGGCTATGGCCAGAATAGTTGACTGAATGCAGCTAAAAAAGCATTGCATCGTAGTTAGGGATAGTTTAGCTGGATATATCTTCACAATAGAAGCCTGCAAACAGAAATACTAATAAATGATAAAGAAATAACAAACCCACCAAAAGAATAAGGAAAAGAAAAAAAAATGGCTTCATCTAGGTCCTCAGTTTCATAAATATACAGAATGCCAGCTACTATCCCCTGGAAGCATAATGACTATATAACTATTGTCAAGTGTTAGTATATATTTGTTAGTGAGTTGGTTCATGTATTATACTGAAAAGAAAGCCTTTGCCTTACTTAATAATGATGCCATTTTCTGCAACTCTCCTGTCATATTTTGGGGAGAGAGACTGTAATGGCTATGGAGTATTGCTTTGTTTTCTCTGTTTTTTTTTTATCTTAATATTTTGATTAGTCACAAAGAGAAGCCAAATTGCTTATGATGGTGCACCTGCAAAACTAGCCACAATGACCAGGCTGTATTTGCTGAAAGCATGACAAGAGAGCCTCTTTTCCAATCTGTACTGGAACTATGCTTAATTGCAGACTGGCCTGCAGCATCTCCGTGAACTGATGGATACCAATTCATGAACTTTATGGGAGGACCCTGATATAAAGAAACAACCAATGCTCCTCCAATACATATTACAGAGCCCACCACCTTGGCCACTCCATATAAATGCTTTAAAGAAAGATTTTCCATCCTGAAAATTCAAAATGACAACATTATGGAAAACAAAAAAGAAAGAATTCTGTCTTCTGTTTTATCTCTTTAGCATGGAGAAAGTTGCAAGGGCTATTCTTTTATTTACCTCAGAAAAACAGCCATGATAAAGGTTAAAGCAGGGATTACATTAGTTGATGCTGCTGCAAATGTTGCCGAGGTGTAGTTAATGGCAACATAGTATAGGTTGGAGCTCAATGTGATCCTGAAATTTATAGGTATAGAGAATATATATTATTGACTCTTGCTCTCATCAGTTCAGTATACTGTTGAAGATAAAGGTGATATTGAATAACGACCTCAGTTCCAACAACTAAGTTGAACCACTAACTACTACTACTAGACACAAAAGAACAAAACAAAGTCAACTTACCCACATAAAGCAACCAAGAAGACCTTGCACAGTAGAGCGTATGATATGGGAGGAGCCTTCTTCCTAGAGAATTAGAAGGGACAAACAACAAAAATAAACAGTATGAAAACCATATTCCATATTGAAGAGCTGACAGAGTGAACGACGAAAGGGTGCGAGTGTTAGGAACCTTTCTAGGAAGAAAGCAAATGGAGCCAATGCAAGTACAGCAAAAGCTTGCCTATAAGCAACAAAAATGAAAGGATTCATTCCTTTTTCAATTGCTACCTTGGAGAACAAGGCCATGCCTGCATATATAAACTGTATGAAGATCATTACAAAATAAGGTTTATTGGTTTCCATGAATATGAGAAAACCAAGTGAACCCTTCATTGTTTCTAGGCCTTGAAGACTAGGAAGGTCGTCCAATATTTATAATGAAGGATAGCACACAAAAGATGCATAATCGACGGTTCAGACGTTAAGACAAGTCCTTTTTTCTTATTTTCTTCTTTTCCCCTTTTTTTGTTGGCATGGGAAATCTAGACCCTTTGGTACCCAATAAAGAAAATTATGCATGGAATATTTCTAATCAGGAAAGGACCACTTTTCCCAGAAATCTACTGTATTTTGAATAGTTTTACACACAAACATCTTGTAATGATTTTGATCACTATAATTGGAAAACAAGCCTTCATTGGCCGAGGAGAATTGAATATCCATCTTAATTGGTTCATGGCACATAGATATGTCCTAACCGTGTTTTCTTTTGAATGTTCAGAGTTTATCTTTATTTGAAGATTTAATAATTAAAAGTTTCTGTCATTAAGCTGTCCCATCAACTTTAGTACTATTGAGAACCACTAAGGTGGTTGAGTGGGTATGCACCATAATGAAGTTTCAGCTCATCTGTAAACCCCATTAAGGATAAAAGCTTCACAGATGCAAAGCAGGAAACGGGATCAAGTGATAAAGATCGCATTCTTTTTTTGGTGTTGCTGGTGCATGGGCCAAGAAAACCAATTCACCATACCTTTTCCCTAGATGGCGACTTTACAACTAAAGATGTCAAAAATTTTGTAGAGACAAGAGTTCCAAATAGGTTTTTCTCTCAAGAAACCGAAAACGGTTACTCTCAAAGGGTAGCCTTTGGCATCTAAAACTTCTGGCCTCTGCGGCTGATCATTTGAGTATTCTAACCACTGGATGGCCTAGTATCCAGTCATGACTCATGACTATATATTCTCTGATAGTACAAATGGATCCGGTTGTTTGTCTGGAGACACATTTCATGTTTCTGCAAGGGCAGAATGGTGTGCCTCCTTGGGATTTTCAGCTGTTTGACAAGTTATTTTGCCTAGTTTCCTTAGCAATATGTCTGTGACTCTGTATACAAATTTCTAAAACTAGAGTTATGCTGCAAATTAACTCTGTGCAGAGAATTATAGTTCTCAACCTTCATACTGGTGAAAGATTGCTATACCATCTCAGTGACTACATAATGATTTAAGTATGACGCTGTGCCGGATTCTTTGAGATGGATTCCATTGACTGAGACGTCATTTTCTTGCAAATTAAACACGTTCTTTTGTTGAATAGTATAGCTTGATAGTAACAAATGAAAATGTCTTCATAAACCCATTACTACCAAGCATCCAGATTGATAACTTCCTATCTTTGAAAGGTAACCTAGATGGACTTCACTGACTTCCTGCAAATAAGCACGTTCTTTTGATGAATAGTTAACACTTGATAATAACAAATGCAAATGTCCTCACAAACCCATTACTACAGACTATCCACATTGATAATTTCCCATCTTTGAAAGGTCTCCTTCCTGTATATGCTTGTCAGGTCATCACTTGAGGTTGTCTTGCCATTATACTGACCTTGTGATTCATATGTTATGTCAGCCGTTCATCGGATCATCCAAACCAACGAAACAGATAAACAGAGTAATAATGGTTCATGAAAAATCAGAGCACATGTTTTGTGGTTATCTTCTAAATGTAGACTAGCAATCATCTGATCCCTTTCCATAATCATACATCAACATCAGTAAGCCATTCACAATGCGGGATAAAAAGCCTCCACTCTGATAGTTGTTCTAATTGTGGAGCCATGCATATTCTAATGATGAGTCTAAATCTGGAGATGCAAGCCTCCATCCTAGTGGACTTTCCATTTTTTTTTTTTTTTTGTTTGTTGTGACATGAGGTAGACAATCAAATCAATCTATAACAGGTTCAGTGAATTATATTTACATTCTAATTTCAGAAGGACAATTATGTAGAATCACTGTTAAAGCGGCGGCAATTGAATTCTGTATCGTTACTACGCCGAGAAATTCGTCGATGTTAGTTTCTGCAAACCTCTTCTCTTTTACTCTTGGTAATTTAACAAGTAAACTCTTGGGAGTGACTTTTCTTTTCCCCTTCTCCTCTCCAGTTGGTAAGTTGGATTGAAGTTCTAACATCCAAGTGTAAGATTACAATTAGGAGAACCATCCAATAAGGCATTGTGGTAGGACCCTGATTTGAACATTGTCTCATGAAAATCAACTTAGAACTTGTGGACATCCTGAGACTGCCATCTGAAAGAACATCACTGTGAATGGAAGTGAACGCTTCATCTTGGCCATGAATGGTACCTCGGAAAATTTCTTCCCACCTTCACTGTGCACTGTGCACAATGTACTATTTTTGCTCATACAGCTGTACTTAGTTTGCGTAAGGAGCCATGTGGAACAGGATGAGGCACAAAGATAAAGTGTAACCTAGAAGAGCACAAGGTGTAACTTGTAACAGAGTAGGCCTTTCCCTGACATTTTTGAAAATGGTGGTGAAGGGTTCTCTGCTTCATATGAGGAAAAGGAAAATGAAAAGGGCACAATTCATCCCCTAGTGCACGCTGGCCTGCACTTATCCCAGCCTACTCTAAGAAGCCTAGGTTTTCTTTTTTTTTTTTTTTTCTTTTGGGGTGTCTAGATTTCATAAAAGGAGAGAACCAGTACAAGGCCATAGGAATGGGCTGTTTCCTTATCATCACTCTGTATATGTGGGGAAAATATCATACCATCATCTAATTATTTGTACTCTCTGGGACCAGCACCCAATACTGCTCCTGTGAAGCATGGAATCATGCATGTGCTAGTTAATCTAGGACGATCTAAAAGACTTTCACTGGTTCTATACTTCTATAATATTCTTCTCATCCTGTTTCTCAGTGTTTTTTTCGGTAATATAGCAGCTTTGTGGCATGTAAAAGAAGATAATTTTTTTTTTCTTTTAATTCCAAATATTAAAAAATAATAATTGTTATTCGTAAAAAACAGGGTTGATGTGGCTAAGATATCATGCTGACATCAGAGACCGCCATTCTGTATTGTATCAACTGTACTGTTTAACTTGGAGATTCATTTTTTTGCTAAGCACTTATCCTTACTGTGCATTTACATGTGTTCTTTATATCATAATTCATAAATATTACCGAAGTAAGATAAACAATCGGTCATTTTTACCCATGGATTTCATTATTGGAAGGGGTTAATTTTGTCCAACAACCCTTAGATAGGAAAAGAATATACTACAGATATTTAGGAAAAAAAGAATGAGGCCTTAAAACCTTGTAAAGCTGGGTATACCTACAAATACTTATAAAAAAACAGAGCCTTTTTTTGATATTCGACTATTCGGTGCCATGCACCGTTATTAACTTTCCCCTTGACCCTTTTTCCCAAAGCGCTGATTGTGGGATTCAATTCCGCATTAACGCTGGAACAAACCAACTAACACACCAGCGATCCAGCCCTTGTTGATTAAACAAACGGGGCCTTAAAACATTATAAAGCTGATGTTAAGTCTGTAACAAGAAATCTCCCGGAATTTTGATTTACAATGAACTCAAACTATGTGATGATCAGCCAACTTCAACATGGAATCATAGGCACTGCAAAGCATCAATTTCATTATTAATGTATTGAAAGTAGAGTTCTTCAGTGGAGAGAGAGTTTTCTGTTTTAAGTAAAAGAAACAAAGGATAGCTATATATGTACAAGTCCATGATTATATCAATTCATCTAACAAACCCAAACATTTCCATTTGAACCAAAAGGGGTAATATGAAAATGAGACATATCCAAGAGAATGAAATCTAGTCAATGAATAAATAAAGGACAGATAGAACACATCATATACTGTAGAGACAAATGTAACGAACACAAATGCTTGAAACAACTATTGACAAGACACAAATCCTTTCAGTTTCCATCTTTACTTGATTCTTGCAACTTCTCAAGCAGAAACCACATCTGCAGGTGACTCCAATGGAACTGGTTCTTGTGGTCTGATGTTCTCCCCTGAAGGTTTCTCTGTTAACTTGACATCCTTGTCAGGACCTTCTTTATTTTCTTTCTTTGTTTTCTTTTCATCGGATTTTTCAGGTTTTTCAGTCTTTACTGCTTCTGCTGGTGCAGATTCAGAAGGTTTTTCTGTTTGGACTGTCTCAGAAGCAACAACTGCTGGGGTGGCTTTTTCCTCAGCAGGGCTTTTGGCCTTTTCAGCATCCACAACATTGACAACAGTTTCCTTGACAGTTTTCTCCATATTTTGATCTTTTCCTTTCACTGGTTCAGATGGGACGTTTTCTGTTTGGGTTGCCTCACCACTCTCGGTTGAATCTTTCCCTCTCTTCTGCCAAAGAAATGTATGAAGCGGTCAGAGATTTTCATGTGTCGACAAAAAAAAAGGAGAAAACAACTCAATAACTCAACGTATTTAAGGCATCATCGTTAACAAAACAACTCAGATTAACTTTCTTTATTATTTTGAGTTCTTTTTTTATGTTGTAATTTGTAAAGGAGCACAAGCATCTCTTGCTATGCGGCTATGCCTTAATGGAGTCATGATTGTAGAGTAGCCGTTTTGTTTCAGTAATAACTGTTTTCACGTTGGGTTTTGGTCTCCTCAGTCCTCACATTAAAGCTATCCCATTCTTGAGAATTATGGGAAATCCTGCAAAATAATGCATTTTTTTTAACGCGCAAAACTATGCATTAATCTTTAAGTTTTCAGGGGGGTTAAAAAGAGAAAGATGACCACAAATTCAAGCATAGTTGTTCATATATGGTCTAGCTTCCCTTAATGTGTATGATATACAATATGTGGTCTAGACCGCCAAACCATACTAAATAAAACCAAAATTGGTGGTTTGGTCTGAAAATCGCTCAGACCATAAATTTCTGGTTTGGTTTGGTTTTCTAAATTTATATACCAAATCAAACTGTAAATTAATATTTATTGATGTATATATATAATATGTGTCAATATATATATGCAAGTATTTATTTAATATTTTATATATTATTGTTATTTTTTTAAATTTTAATTTATAAAGTGTGAATATAATTTATATAATAGTCATAGGTGGCACTTGTTATCATTTCAAATTGATAATTGAACTATATTTGCTATTTATTTAATTATACATATTATTCAGGCTTTCTAATTGGGTTAAGTCAAATAGAATATGACCCAAGTATTAAAAATTGGATTGAGGTGATTTGGGTCATGTTTGGTTTACTGCTCCGAGGCTCATTCTTTTAATTCTTGCTCATTCTAGGTAAGAATGAATAGCATTAGAGTGCTTGATTACAAAATTCTTGGCATGGGTCACATTCTTTTTTGAATGAAAAATCAACCCATAGCTCAAAAATTAAAGTAGCTATGAAAAATAATCATGCCCCATCTTTTTCATTTTCATTCTTTAAGGAAAACTTTGCTTACAAAGCTATTGACATAAATGTTTACTAACCGACTACTGTAGAAGTACTTTTGCAAAAGCACTTTCATAGAAGTACTTTTACAAAGCACTTTTACAACGAAAGCACTTTTATGAGAACACTTTATCAAAACACTCGATAAAAGCACTTTTACGAAAGCACTTCTATAAAAGTACTTTCACAAAAGTGTTTTATATAAAATATTTTCGTAAAAATACTTTTACAAAGTACTTTTATAAAAGCACTTTTTACTTTTATAAAAACACATTTGTAGAAAGTACTTTTACAAAAACACTTTTATGAAAGTACATTTATCAAAGTATTTTTACAAAAGCACTTGTCAGTTTGAAAAAAAAAATCTTTTTTAGGAAAACAGCATTTGGTTCATAGTAATATTTTCTCATTTTGCCTATTTTTACCTATTCTTGTCCATTTTAAAATTTCATCTTGGATACAAATGAGAAAGAATGAAAAATGAACCAAACATGGCATTGATTTCTGTGATAAAATGATTTTGGTTTGATATGAAAACTTCTCAAACTATAATTTACAGATTTTGATTTTCCATCCTCTCTAAACCAAACCGTTAAACACTCTTATGTGTAATAATGTATTGAACAAAGGAAAAGTCATCTCAGCCCCAAGTTAGACAGATAGGAATGGGAAAGGTGCAGGGACGGAGAGCCTCTCCCCATTCCATCCCAAAATCCCTATCCTTGTCCCCATCTCCATCCCCACTAATAGGGACAAGGTTATCCCATCCTCATCTCTACAAGGATTTTCATTCTCACGGGATCCCTGATCCTTGTAATTTTTTATAATGTCAACTATTTTGTTTTCGTTTTTTATTTTATTTGAAAAAATAAAAATAAAATAAAATAATAAAAAAGTATAATTATTTTTAAAAAAATTCAAACATATTCAATCATATTATTTTTTAAAATAATAATATATTGATGCATGTATAAATATATGCATATATAAATATGTATGTATACATATATCAGCGGGGATTGAGGTCTTCATGGGCGGGGGCGGGGGCGGGGAGTGATCTCCTTATCCCAGCCCCATTCCCACCAATAAGAACGAAAATTTTTCCATTCTCATCCCCGCGGGAGAAATCGTTTCCATCCCCGCTCCATTCAGAGCGAATCCCCCACAGAGGTTCGGGAAAAGGGAAAAACTTGTCATCCCTACCTACTGAGTATAAGGTTTTTATGCCGAAGCAAAGTTAAGCTGAACGCTTTGGAATTGTCATCCCGACGTCAGCTCATCCAAATTTCCGTTGATCACACAATACATTACTGGCTACGCTCATCCAGCCGTTCGTCGGATGTTGTAAATGTGCGGCTGGGTGAACGTTACCCAGAAATGTACTGTGAAACTCTGCGTCGAACCCAATTCTCCGACTCTCCAGTGATCGTCGCCGACAATGTCGGGTAATGGGGCACCCGCACCCCATTCTCCGTCATTCTGACAATTCCTTCGTTGGTTACGATGTTATTTCGTCCACCAGTTCCGCTCATGAATGCCAGCAATTTCAAGGACAAGCTACATTTCGAGGCCGACAGCTACTAATGTACTACCTCCAAATAAAGGAGGAAAAGATTGATCAAGTAATGTAAGTGCCCAAACGAGCTACATTAAGGGCCCCAATTGCAAGTTGCAACAGGTGGTGGGTCCCCCTCCTTACCATTTCAAGTTTCAAACGATGATGTAAGTGACCTCTACTGTTTTATGGTGCAACAATTCACACCATATCAGACCGTAAAAGCTTTACCTGCTGTTCATAATTCGCAAAGCTCAAAGGCTAATAAGAGCTGGCTGGTCCAGCTCCTAACAATCAATAATTCTTACAAAATTAATTAAAATTAGTGCACAAATCTTTATCTTGGGATCTAGATCTTCCAGGCACGAAAAAGAAATGAAGAAATGAGAATCTGCGTAGGAAATTCGTAGCCATTTCATAAGCTTCTTCAGAGAATCAAAGGTCTAGGGTGTTTTAATTTCAATCAGAAGCAAGAAAAACACAACAAACAATACTAGTTTCATTCAGTGATTCGATAGTTTCATGGATGAATTAGGGAGAGAGAGTATGTAATTTAATTCATGAATCATGCAAATAGATTAACAAAAGGCAATCCAGAATTAATTGAATGAAGCACAATCAGAACCAAAGTTCATAGAAAACTTGAAATGAAAAACTAAGATTCCATTAAGAAGTCCAACGATCAGGAGAGCTCAAGTGTTCGAGTTAATCTATATAATAGAGAAAGGTTAAGAAAAATGGCTACCTCGTTGAATAGAGAACTAAGAGATCTATGCTTGTTGCTCTGCTCATCAACCTCGGCATTCTCCACCTTTTCTTCCTGTGCTGCCTCTGCCGTCCTGGCTGCTTCTTCTACAACGGTCTTCTCTTCGGAGGCCGTGCATAGCTCCTCCTTCTCAGGATCTGCTGCCGGCACAGGTTTTCCAGAATTAGCAAATTCAGCCTTGAATCCTTTCGGCCTGCTTGCACAGCCTCCCATCTGTGGATTTCAAATCTTCAAACGAGAAACAATTCCCACCTATTATATATTATCTCTCCCTGTCTCTCTTGATATCTCTCTCCCCCTTAACTGAGAGAGATGGAAGAAGGTGTAGAAGAAGAGGAAGATCAGGAAGAGGAAAGAAGAAGAATGGACGGTAGAAATTAATGGGCGAAATTGTGTATAAATAAGGCGCGATTTCGGCGTTTCAAAGCTCCGACATTCGTTCCACGGCGAAGAAAATTTTCAGGAGGACAGACGCACAAGACAGACAATACAGACTCGTCTTTTTTTTTCCAAGTTATGAACTTATAAATTATGAATCACAGCCTGTAAATTTTCTTTTCTCGATGGTTTCTTTCTACTTTCTAAATTTGGGAAACTGAATTCATTTTTTTCTTTTGGACAGCCAAAATTTTCTCGAAGTTTTCTTCGGAGTCTTTTGATTTTGGGAAAACCAACGGTTTTACCGGAAACGAATTGCTCTTTTACTCTCATCCTTTCATCTGCATGCATGATATTTGCCGTTAGATCTTAAAGTTCCTTCCGATTTATGTCAGCATGATTAAAAATCCAACGGCTGGTAATGGTATCGTATACCGATTATCAGATTATCACTACCCTAACGGTCGGGTCATCGCGACGGTCCGCTTGATAAGTTTCAAAGCAGATCATATATCAAGAGCTGGACATTGGCACACAAGGTGCAATTTAGCAGTCAGGCGTGAACGTGATGATGATTGATGACTACGGATCTACGGTAAATTCATGATTTGCTGGAGATCGGACCGAAACGGTTTCTGACTACACGAGTGGAGTAGGGTATAAAAAGTTGATCCGTTAACCGACCCTCTATTAAGCGAATGAAGCAGAGGAGGTCAAGTCCACATTCTTTATCCAAACCCGACGGGACCGGACCCATTTGCAATGGACGCTGGGCTAGAGGCCAAAACTGCTTGAAAATTTAAGGAATGCATGTAATATTCTAATGAGATTCCAAAATTCTGCTTTTACGCCAAACAAAGCTTTAGGGAAAAGAGGTGTAGTTCTCCAAGGTGACCGAAAAGCTCATCTCATCCGTATGTCTGACTGGAAAGCTACGTAACCCATCTATTATTACAAGCATTAATTAATTAATCAATCCAAGTAACTTAAGTTTGATGCTTTCAAGCTTCAACCTTTGATCATCTTTTTCACTCTCTCTCTTCCTTGGAGTCCATCATTTTAGTTGGAATCCACTCCTTTTCAACCACATATTTTAATTTTAATGGGTGGAGTTGCCTGGCTTGCACGATTGAAACCCATCCACCAAAATTGTAGCGTGTTGCAAGGCCCAAATTTGAAGAATTCAAGGTATTTCATAAAGCTGTGATTCATTCAATAGCAACGTTTATCCAAGAACCAAGATTATAACTACATAAATTAATAATTAAGGTGGCCTTGTAAGTCTGAAATGTTTCCATTAATAACTGAAATTAATAAAAAATAATAGCTGTTCTTTGGTTTCACATTTGATAGTCCCACTTTTAGAAGGCCTCGTTCATTTTTTCAGGAAATAGAAAAAAAAATCTACATTCGATTTATGATTCTTGGGTTCTGTTTATTTATTTGGGGAAGTAATACTCTTTTCAGGTTTGAATAAATTATTTACGTATAAGCATTGAAAGTTTCTATTATGGGATGGGATAATATTATTCCTTTAATAATGTTTTTTTTTTTTTTGATAAATCGGTCATTATACACCTTTACATAGCGAATAAAAGAAAACCAGTAGATACTCTTATTCAAATAAGCATTATCTAAGAAACACTTATCCGAATAATTGCACTTACCTAGATAAATTGTTTATCGAGACACAAACGAGGCCATATATGAATCTATCAAATCTGAACACTTCCCAATTTTGTTATTAATGGGCATAGTTTAGACCCCATTTTGGTTTGTAGGAATGGAGTCTGGAATAGGAATTAGATCGGTCCAATCATTTGGTTAGGTGGAATTGAAATCCTATTCTCATTTGTTATTGAATGGCATTCCCCCATTTGAAGGAATGGCCATTTCCTCCCCCTCCCTTGAGAATGAAATCCCACTCCAGCTGATTCCAATTTTGATTCTGATTCCCATCTGGACCAAATAGAATATGGAAATAAATCATTTCAATTCTAATCCTGATTCCAACTGCATACCAAATGGACCATGATTATCAATAACTACAAGACATCCAAATTGGTGCATTGGGAGGACCAAAATCCCACCCATCAAACTTTTGCATCAACAATCATCTAATTTCAATGTATCATTGTTTATTTATAGCTTTCTAAGCACTAAAATAGCACATTCTGAAAAGCACACAATTAGAGTTGTTCATCAAACCGATGAAACTGACCAACCCAACCCAATCAGAGTTGGTTGGTTTTCTAATTATTCTGGTCGGTTTTGATTTAGTTTTTATGGTAACCTAAGAGGTTGGGTTGGTTTTGGTTTGATCATTTGTAAATCAACCAAAACCGAATTGACCTGACCATAGATATATATTATTTTTATATTTTTTAATATAGAAAAAGTGAGAAAATTCTCATATTTCTTAGTTTAAAACATTTTATATTGTAATTTTTATTTTTCTTTTTAATTTACTTTTTAGTAATACCATTACAATTCTTTAAATTTAAGTTTAACTAAATTTAATTTTTAACTTTAAAGTTAAATTTTTTGAATTGATCAATCAAATTGAGAACCGATCCAAACCAATACAACCTGAGTTGGCCTATTTTCATCATTATTCGGTCAATTTCAAGTGACTAACTTCCCAACCTGACCAGGTCGATTCGATTGATCAAATAGCTTGTAATCGAACCGAACCAACCCAGAAACACCTCTACACATGATGTGCTAAATAACTTCTCAAGTTATTGTGATCAGAACCATCTAATTTTGGTTCCTATTACGTGCTAAATATAAGACTCCTCATGACAAGTTCTATTATTGCCCGCTTAACACTGGCCACATATTGTGCCCAATGTGCGGCTGTAAGGTTCTGTGACCAGCATCGGGTGCTCAGAAGATCCAGACTCATTGCAAGTAAATCAAAACAAAATACATTTTCGGAAAGGTTTAATAAACAATTACTTAGGCTTGTTTGTGAATTGTCAATACCAGTGTGAAGGACATGATGAAGCCTATCCACGCTCCAGACCACCCATTAAAGAGGAAACACTATAAGATTGTCAGATGTCTATTTCCCCACTTTATGGCAGCGGGCCTTTAAATCCTATTATCACACCACTTACTAGTACTTTCCAAGTGGTGGAAATTAACTAATGAAAAGCCCCCATCTTTTTTGTCCAAAATGAAAATCAGACAAACATCAACTTAGTTTGGCCACACCCACAGGGACCTTTAAACTGAGAAAGTGCCCTAATAATATAGGGTAGAGAGGGGGAAATTAGACTTACAAAGGTCCTCCAATCACTTGTGTTTATGAGGGAAGGATGTGACTTAATACTAATACCTAGCTAATTGATTATTTATTCGACTTAGTGACCAACCACCCTTTGAATTGAACATTCTTCACCCACTCAATCCTATGCTACATTTCAAAACTTGTATGAAGGGATTGCAATAGGAAGAGATGGTCACAAGGAGAAACAAAATCAGGAAAACAGGTGGTGTTCCTTTGTGGGCACCTAGTTGTCTCCCACTTGTTACAATGTTCTCTCATTATTATGTGGAGAAAGGTCGGGACTCGAGGGAACTTTGACTGCCAAAATTAGACAGTCCGGACTGTAAACAGGGCTTTCCCTGCATGACATCTTAGTTCACATAGACTTGGTGCTAGATGGTTTGTAGGGTGGAGCCAGACAAGGAGAGCCCTGTTGACAGTCTAGGCTGTTGAATTTAGATAGCCAAATTCGCCTGTTCATGTAAATTCGATATCCAATTTGAAGAATTTACAGCGCATCGAGTTTTCAAGCTCAACCCATTCTTTTTTTCTGTTTTTCTTTGGTAAATTATAAAGACCCGCCCCTACGGGGTCAGTGACAATTATCACCTGACCCCCTTGAATTTTCACTTTGCAACCAATACTCCGAAGCTTGGTCAGATGGCCCTTTTCTCTTAAACCATAAATCCAAAAATACCTCCAATTTTTCCAAATTGATAAGCCAAAGTAACAAGAATCATTTCACGAGCATAGTAAAACAAGTTTCTTTATTATTATTATTTTTTTTTCATTCACTCCTTTCTTGTACAAAATCAAGAAAAACCAAATGAAACCTCAACTTTATATTTATTAGAAAGAAACCACTACTTTAATTTGAATGTTAAATCTGGCCAAAAATCTGCAAGGATCTCCAACTGAGAGGATTTTAATATTATATTTAGAAAACTAATATTCAACCATAAATCATTCAAATAAATAAGGAAATGATAGTTTGATGATTTAAAAAATCTTAAACAATTGAATGAGACTTTTTTCAAAATTAATTGATGCAACTCTAACGAAGGAGGTATTTATAACAAAATGAAAGTTCTAAATGAAAATTTGAAGAGATAATTGTCACCGACACCATACTAAGGGGGTATTTAATTATAACCAAGACTCAATCGTAGGATAAAAAAAACTCAATTCGAGACTGCCCAGGATGCACGCATAAACTCATGTTATTCAGCATTGCAAAAAAAAAGAAAAGGTAGAATGCCGTGATGGTAATTTTTAATGCTATTTTTTAATCAGGATTGAGATAAGCTAACAAGTACTAATTACTTATTTTTCTGGTAAAGCCCAATTAAGACACCTCTCACTTGTATAGAATTCCCACTTTGCCTTGTAATAAGGATTTAATTTTTGTCTTATTACTTAATAAAGGAACCAATTCAAAGCGAAACTACACAAAATGAAACTTTGATCCCTTCAACTGTTGTTGGCTTGTAGCGTTCACACTTCATACAATTATACCACATCGTCTAATCTTCGCTCTTAAGTTAAAAGGCCTCATCATCCAATAGAGCAGCTTCATCAGATTCCTTCTTCTGCGGAACAGGGAAAACATAGTCAAAGTGCATACGGCATCTCAAAGGATAAACAAAGCTTTGGAGGAGATCACATCTCCGCCCCACAATACATCCTTGTCATATATTGGAAACACTTCTCTATGATGATATTATCAGGATTGGTATTATCATCGGGAGATATTCTCAATACACGATGCACGTGTATTGTGGGGTGGAGATGTGAACTCACTTTGAAGCCCGTCCCATTGATTGTTTCCACACAACATCTTGTCTCTAAAACCAAGCCACATAAGAATCCACCCATCCGTTCCTTTTAAAATCTCGACCATGGCGTTGATTGTTGAACAAGAACGATTATTTAACGCAATTTAAAAATGGGGTTAGCTATATTCAGTGCAAGACCTCATCATAGCCTACT